GTTACATATCAATTAGGCAAGTTTGTAATCCTATTTTCCCACTAAGTATCGTATATGATGATGTAAGATAACTAAATGTCAATAGTCCCTTATCTATTTTATGATATAAGTAGTTATTTGAAGGGATATCAGGAATATAAATGAATTTAATATATCCAAATCCCAAATTTAAACTAGTACAATTTAATTTTGAATGAGAGATCGCTTTTTGACTGCGAGATTCTTTCTTAATTATCTTAATTTCTTAAAATCCAGTTGTAAAAATGTTCTTTGTAAAAATTATTATTTACTTTTAGACCGCTTTTAAAGCTTTGTTCACCCATCACAGCTCCTATCATTCTTAATATACTTGCACCTTTCTGATATGTTATCGAATCAAAAACTTTAGTAAAATCATCTTTCTTTCGAATTTCAAGGATTATCGGATGAGAAGTCGCCTTAGAATCAGCATCAAAAGCCGTGTCCAAATATCTAATAATGAAATAATCCCTCATTTGAAATTTTCCATTGCTGATTGCATCTGTACCCAAATATTCCTTAGAAAATTCTATTCTAAATTTAAAATATAAAATTTACAATCAAAGAAGCGAATCCTTCGTTAAGAAATAAATCATTCCACCAACTCATCGTAACTAAATTGCCAAACCATTGGTGAGCTAATTCATGTGCAATAATTGAAGTAACAAGCAATTTTTGCTGAATAGTACACAATTCTGGGCTATAGAGAAGATATTTTTCAAGATATGTGACCTGAAATCGTATAAGATTGTTTAAAAAAAATTTTGACTCAATATATTATTGTAGTCAGCATTGACTCCAAAAATACATATTATTGGAGTCAAAAATTGACTCCATATATTATTAATAATAAATTCTAAAGAATTTATTAGTAACCAATCCCCAATTTTCTGTTCCTCCAGCACCCGCATCAGGAACTGCAACCATATCCAATTTAGGAATTGGAAACTCAATTCCAAAGTAATCTTCATAAAATTCCAAAACTTTAATTCCAGATTCTAAAGCATAAGAAGTAAAAGTTAAGGCACCTTGACGTGCCCATACACGAAACTAAAAATATTATTATTTTTGAAAAACAATATCAATAAACTCGTATTCCACGTTTTGTATATCCTTCAATATAATTAAAATCAGAGACTACTAAAGCTAACAAATATGAAGACATTGGAGGTGTCTCATCAAAATCAGTTTGAATCCATTCTGCATTGTCTCTACAAAAATTTATTGAATTTGAAAATAAATAAATAATCGCTCTCAAGTGAGACAGAGTGCTTCGATCTCGAACTAAAATTCGTTACCGTAGCTTACCTCGTAATTGGTACAAAGTACTATTATGTACTAATTCATACTCCACTACAGTATTATTTTAGGTAAAAAACAGAAAAAGATCAAAATAAAATAGTCAAAGAATGATTAAGCTTTATTTTAGATATATTTTAATTACGTTGGTATTCCATTTCGAAGTTCTTTTGAATTACTAATAGCTTTAGAACCAGACGGATGAATAATAGTGAGTCGATATATAGCTTTAAAATGTGGTTCATCTAGACAAGGTATCTAAATTTTAACAATTACACCAGATTATATTATACAAACCATTCTCCTAGCATCAATAGATTCCATATGTGTAACAGCTGCAAATCTATACTCACCAGAGAATGTTGTATATGTTGTTAGAAATAGACCAGAGAGTTTTGTGGAAATTGGTCCAGAATATGGAATCTATATAAGAATTATAATTCTAAAGTAAATCTCCTAGGTTAGAGATCTGCTAAATGTTTTTTCGATTTTTTTGAATATTAAATGGGAAATATGTTTAAAGCTAGGTACAAACAAGTACTAATTAAAAAAATTTTTTCAAATATTATTAATATTACATGAAAAAGGAAGTGTTCTCCTCTCTCCAAAATTCCATTTAACTCAAAAAAGACCTAATAAAAAGAATTTTTTAAAAATTAAATTTAAAATTAAAAAAATGTACAACGTAAAAGCATTGGGCTTATCTCTTCGGTTGTAGAGCCGGGCTTATATTAGATCATTTACGGTATACATATACAGGGTGGGGCAAAAGTTCGGCGACAAATGTTTTTAATAAAATCTATTGTAAAAAAAATTTATTTAAAATTAAAAAATGATAAAATATAATCAATAGGATATAATAATCATTTTATTAAAGTAATTTCTTTCCCCCAAGAACCAGGAAACAGCTCCCCACAGAGCTGGATTGTCGTTTTGGCTCCATGCGCGGGGGCTCAATCCTGCTGAAGCGAGAATAGGTTTTCTCCATGAAGCTATAATGCCATGGATGCTCAATCCCCCTCAGAATGTCATTTTTTAGACTGTAGCATTAATTTTTATAGTCATCATCTGTTATGGCGACCAGCTGCGACCAGGCGTTTAATCCTTCGACATTTTTGAAACCTCTTATGCTTCATTCGATTGCTAAGGAAATATGAGCGGCTGATCTTGTAACTCCAAAGTCTAAGCTTCACTCTGACAATTTTTAGGAGGCTCCTCGAGCTCAATCCGAGATCTGAGGCCGTTTTTCACATCGATTGTTCAGAAAAACGGAAAATTCGGCATCTGACGTCCGTTCATGTTTTCAGTCGTAACTTTTGTTACCGGCCGGCCACTACTAGGACGATCCTGAGTATTTCCAAGCTCATGATATCGTTTTATTGCTTTGAAAACCAACATACGACAGATATCGAGCCGTCTAGCGATGCACATTTTCGAACATTTTTAAAATACAAAGAAATAATAGAAGCACGATTTTTTAACATTCTGTAAAATTTTTACTTTATGAGATAGGAAAAAATTTTCAAGATAAAATTTGTAGAGCACGAATCATAGAATATGGGAAATCTAAACAAAATGCAAAATATAAATTAAATTTTAAGATAGGACAAAATAAAATTTGTCGCCGAACTTTTGCCCCACCCTGTAGTCGTCAACTATTAATTTCAGTCAAATTTAAAAAATTAGAAAAAAATGATCAAAATTAGTGTATGTCAAATGACAAACTAATTCTATCAATGCTTAAAATTTACAGAAGCTTAAATTTGCAGCCAAAATATATACGTATTAAATTACCTTTTCGTTATCTTCATCTGTTCTAACTTCAATAACTTTTAATGGTTTTGATTTAATTTCATTATTTACTTCATTTACTCTAATTAATTTATATTTTTCAAGATTTTGATGATCAAAAATAAGTTTTAAAGCATTTAATTCTATTCTATGTGTATTTTGTTCAACTCGAAATTTCATAAGTAAATTAGCGTTAAATGTAAGAGTGTTTGCATCAGAAATTATTGCATCAAAACCGGGGACAAAAATTTTCATTGTTAAATTATACCAAATTGGGTAAAGCTAAAAGAATTTTCGTAACATTAAAAAATAGAAATACCTCGCCAGAAAGCCGTAATACTTCCGGTGCTTTTTCATGTCTAATACTTTGAATATTCTTTCCTTTTTTTGGTAATTTTGTTTCTATAATAATACCATTAATTTATAAACTTTCAAAAATATTATTACTGTCAGTTAAAGTAATTTTTCCTTCGATATAGTTTTCCAAAAAAACATTATTTATAAGAAAAAATGTAAAAAGAATTGCAGCGATCATCATTAAATTAAAAAGTATTAGGAAAATATTTTTCTTTAATTAAAGGAAATTTTTTAAATTTAATAATTATTTAAATTGGAATTTGGTTCTGTAAGAGTTCTCGGTGTTCGGAAACTATGCGCACATGAGCTGGACTATGCCCACATGAGCTCTTATTGATTCTTGAAGGTTATGTTTTTCTGAAACTTTTGAAAGTGGTTATAACTTTCAAAATTTATAGGTATTGTTAAATGTTATGTAACCGTTATCTAACCCAATATCAACTTTGAAGCACTAAGAAAAATTGATTTTTAAAATAAATTTAATTTGGAATGTGACATATAAATATGTATATCCTTATATACCTCCAATATCTTATCTTTGCAAAAATTTCATTTTTTAAAAGAATTCTGTTATCATAATATATAAAACAAATAATGAATTTATTCAATAAACAATAAATTTGAATGTAATTAAAAATAAGTCATAAATTAAGTAGAAATTTGGGCTTAGGTGTGGACTTCCAAAATGTTATCTTAAAATAATTTAATTTTTTAAAGAATTTTGTTATCATAATATATAGAAAAAATAATGTATGTATTTATTCAATAAACATTAAATACATCTTATTTCTATGTGATTAAAACATAAGTCATAAATTATTAACATAAGTCATAAATAAAGTAGAAATTTGGGGTTAGGGATGGAATTTTTATAGAATACACACCTTTTTATATTTTATAAACCATTCGCTAATATTGTCAAATTTCAAATAAACATGAACAAATTTTAACTTTTATCTTTTTTTGAAATGAGTAAGTGTTATAACTTAAAGCGCAACTTAAAGCAAAGCACGAGTAAAGCAAAGCAAAGTAAACTTAAACCATAGCAAAGCACAATCAAAGCAAAGCACAAACAAAATCTACAAAGAAATGATAAATTTTTTACACAGTCAAAAGTCTGATCAATCTTTTAATTAAAAATAAGTATGTAGTATTTCAAATTTGATTTTTACTACAAGTTTTTCTATCATTGTATGAGAAATTTAATTTAAAAAATTTATTTATCGCCTAAAACATTTAAAGATAACATAGGGAAAACATTCAAAGTCAGAACATTTTAGGTGGTTTTTGTACTTTGCTATCTGTGATAGGGAAATCCCTCAAAAAATAGGAGTCTTCTCGTCTTATCTTAAGAAAACTCTCGACCAAAAAGTATTTATCTGATAGTGGTATGTACATATTATTGTAAACATAAAGTGGAGTGAGTTTTATAGACTTAGAATTTATTTACTTATTAAAAATTAGCAGACCTTAAATAATCTTTTGGCAAATAAATTTCTTTATTTTCTAATTTTTCCGTTTAAAAATAAATTTTTAAAAAAATGTCGAAAGCTAATGATATATCACTTTATAAAAATAATTCAAATATCCCAAAATTAATAACAATACCAAAGTTACATCAAATGAAGAAAGACGGTATTCCTATTGTTTCATTAACTGCTTATGATTATTCAATGGGAAAAGAAGTAAAGTTAATTAATTATTTTAAAAATATTGTAGGCATCATATCCTATATTTACATATTATTAAAAATTTCCTGAAACTTTTAAAATTAAAATAGATAAGATATTTTCATTTATGTATACCAGGAAGGAATGTCATTTATATCAGGAACATCATCACCCAAAACCCGAACAGTTTTTCGACATGGACGATCCGAGGAATCTTACAAAATCCCCTCTTAAACCCCTAACTGACACGGCCTTATATGTACACATACTCGGATTTTATTCGAATTGAAACTGATCCGAAGTAAATTTTTAAACCCCAACCTTTTCTCAACCAGTGACATCACTGTTGTATATGACATTATTATCTAATAAAATTACCTATGTCATTATATTATTTATTATTTTAGTACGTTTTTCCGTATTTTTAAGGCTCTAAATTTTAAATCCTATTATCTATCATTTTTGAAATATTAAATAAATAGATGGATCAGGCAGGAGGTGATGTTATATTAATCGGAGATTCACTTGGTTGTGTTATACAAGGAAAACAAAATACTTTATCCGTTAGTCTTGAAAATATCATTTATCACACAAAAATTGTCTCAAATGGAATTAAAAGAGCTTTAGTAGTTGCTGATTTGCCTTTTTCTGTAAGTTTTTTTTATTTATGTCGCGAACTTTACGTATCAGTGTTTTGTGGACCTTAACATTGTGACCCCAAATTTGGAACAAAAGTTGCGGCGCATAATTTTTCGGACATGACCTTGTAAAATTCGAGTCCGAAAGTTTCGTGTCCTCAAAGTTGGGATCCGCAAATTTCTGTACGCATTTTTTATTATGTAACTAAGGAATAAAATAAATATTTTAGTGTTCTTATAGTGTTGAAAAAGTCATTGAATCTTCTGTTTCTTTACTTACTAAAGCTGGGGCAGCAGCAGTTAAATTAGAAATACCTTCGAATTCTGAATTACATTTAAAAATGTTAAGAGAACTTAATTCTTTGTCTATTCCTGTTTTTGCACATATTGGATTAACACCACAATCTGTACATTCACTTGGTTATATTATTTAATTTATTTTAATTAATGCAAATACTCAGGAAATAATAAATCCGTGATTCAATTAAAAATATTCATGTAATCAACATAAGGGGGAATAATAAATAAATAACAAATAGTCTACCGTATAAAGATTCTGGATCTAGGAAAAAGGATAAAATCTAGGCATTGTACAAATAATTGAATGTAAGGTTAGAAAGGGATTTATATATGTGATTGTAACACATTATATCAAAGAATAATAAAGGTTACATCGGAAATTGTAATTGTATAATTCTAAATATTTGGATTTACCTTACAATATGTATTTAATTTAAGGTGGTTATCAAGTTCAAGGAAATTCAAAATCCAAAAGAACTGCAGAAGAATTATTAGAATTGGCTATTCAGGTAGAAAAATGTGGAGCATCGGCTGTTGTTCTTGAATGTGTTCTTAAAGATTTGGCAAAACAAATCACAGATTCCTTAAAAATTCCAACAATTGGAATTGGTGCTGGTATTCATTGTGATGGACAGATTCTTGTTGTAAATATTTTTTAAATTATTTTTTATTTAAATAATTTTGCTATTGTGTCATCTCACTCATTCTATTCTTCTACCCATTTCTAAAAAATAGTGCACGTGGCTAAAATTAACAAATGTACTATAAAACGTATTATATGACGATTTTTGGCGATAATCTTATACATTTTACTACATGGGCCGGTAATGTGTGCGAGTTATAACTCTGGATAAGTAGGGCTAACAATTCACATAAAGTAGTATGTATACATACATGGGAATATTGCTAACAGATTCGCATTGCTGGTGACTGATGATATAACTCACTTTAAGCCATCTATACTTTTTTGGAGATGGAAAAAGATAGAAGAAGAATAATGCAGTGATATACCACAATATACCAATTTTTCTTAGGTTTATGATCTTCTTGGAATTGGAGACAAACCTCCAAAATTTGTCAAAAATTTTTTAAAGGATCAAAATTCTATTCAAAATGCTTTTATTTCTTACGTTAAAGAGGTACGTGAAAGAATGTTTCCTGAAGAAAAACATTCTTATCATTAAAATAATTTTCAATAAAAACATTTCTTTAATAAATATAAAATTTTTAATGTGTTAAAAATTTTAGCATTTAATTTACTACAAGTTTAAATAAAAATACATAGTTTTAACGGGAAAAATAAAAAAAATTTTTATTTAATTTGTTTGTTAAAACTATTTAATATAGGAATTATTTTGTGTTCTCCGAACAAATTAATGTTGTAATTTGCGTAAAATAAATTGAAATTAACGAATTACTTTAAAAAAATTTTATTTTTAAACTTTTTGTTATTTTTGCTTGGTTATTCTCAATTTTAAATTAATAATTAAATTATGTCTTGTAAGATTATAATATGTCTTTGAATCTAAGTAAACCTTCAATCCCCGAAAATCTTGGAAACCTTCTTTAAAATTTTCGCAAACAAAATTCTTAAATTATTGTCGATAAATTTGTAATAACCTAATTATTTCTTTGCTTTATTTTTTGCAGTTTTTTTAATTTTTTAAATAAATAATTCTAGTATTATTTAAGCAAATATTTAAAATAATTATTAATTAATGGCCAGTGTATTTTACATTTTTAAATTATTATTATTTAATATCATTTTAATATTTTTATTTTCAATGATTTTAATTGTTAAAGCTACAATTTCAAAAGATTTTTCTAACTTTTTAATTAAAGAATATGGGGAGGAAGTAGAAAAGTTAATTGCTAGGAGAGATTTAGGTTTTGGTGGAAGTTTTGGGGGTGGCCAAGAGAATGAATGGAATAAGTGAATTTTATCTTTATAAATTTCTAAAATTACATTTAAAAGCCTCACACTGACATTGTATAAACCTAAAGACACGATAGGCGAAATTTTGGTCCTTAAGTAAAATTCGGGAGCATAAATGTTATTAATTACTCGGATAATTTTATTAATCACTGGGATAACTTAGTTGGAATATTCCATTGTTCCCATTATTGCATTGAAAATATCTATAAAACTTGGAAAATTAGGAATCATATAAGCCTGGCAAATAAAGCAAAAACTAAAAATGATCCGTCCTGGTAAGGATGGAGAGCGTTTAATCGCTTTACATACGAAAGTTATCAGATGATAACTCTCTCTTACGTAGGGTTCAGCGGTATCGGGATCCCGACCGGTATCGGGCGGTATTATACCGGTCTCTTTGAATACCGATACCGATTTTACTGATACCGCTACCGAATGATAAATCCCGATACCGTTTTTGCTGATACCGATACCGAGGCCGGTATCGGTATCGGGATTAGCGTCGGATACCGATGAATATCGGTATTTTTTAACACCCCTAAGGATCGATTTTTCATTTGTTTTATGAACGAAATTAGCTGCATGGCCTTCTTAAATTCTCAAAATTTTTGCCTGCGGCGCTTAAAAAGTGAATTTTTTCACTTACGGCCTTCTAAAATTCTCAAAAATTTCGCCTGCGGCGCTAATAAAGGACCAACTCTGGCCTATTGATTTTACAAAAATCTTAAAAATTTTGCCTGCAGCGCTGAAATGGGAAAAAGCTAGGCCTTTTGGCCTTAAAATTTTAGAAATTTTCGATTTTGGCGCCTTCGGTGAATTAAATTTTGGCTTAAAAGTAACATAATGTTCATTAATGAAACACAGGTGTTTTGTTAATGAACGCAGCCTAATAAAAAAAAGTTTTATCCAGGTCTGGTCCCCATATTGAGGGATATCATTCTATTATCGGGGGTATCCCTAGTACTCCCAGAAGTTTACTGATATCCCACCTAATCCCCAAAGTTGAGTTGAGGTATAAAGTTGAATTTGGGGTATACCCGTGGATGAAGATGATATCGGAGGATTAAAGTGGATAACGATGGATTTGGAAGGTCTTCTATTGGTTCCTGAGATGTTTTTGTCTCGAGAATGGCTTTATAGTGCTAATTTATCATTTTACTACAGATTAATACCTTTTTCAAAATGAGGAATAAATTTATTTATTAAAGAATTTATTTATTTTTTTCGGATTAAAATTTTTTAGAAAATACCGATACCGATTTTTCAATCCCGATCCCGAGTCTGTATCGGTACCGGTACCGGTATCATTAACTCAAATCCCGATACCGATTTAGGCTAATCCCGATCCCGAGTCGGTACCGGTATCGGGATCGGTATCATCAATCCGAAATACCGATACCGGTTTTTTCTCGGAATACCGGTACCGCTGAACCCTACTCTTACGTACGAGAGTTATCACTATAACAAAAATTTTACAAAACTTTAAATTATAGACGTATATCAAATAGACGGCCAATAATCTTCGTTCATGGATTGACAAACGTTGCCGGAACATACGAATATATTCGACGTTATTTCCTCACAAAGGGATATAATAATTCTGAACTTTATGAACGACATATTCCTATGGTGTTAAAAGATTTCTTAAAGATAAGATGGAGTGCAGGCATATAATCCAGGTTAGCATTATAAATTAACTCAATTTCTAAATTTACTTATTCTCTGCATAAGACATACATATAAACAAAATACTTTATCAGTTCAAATAATTACCCAGTGTAATTATTGTTTCATCGCCTCAGTAGAATTGACTTTTTCTAAATTTTCATCCTCTCTCGAATGTTCTCCCTTTATTTTCCAAAATGTTTTATAGAAAATTTTTTGGATTCCGGCACTAGTATAACATAATTATATAGCTTGTATTAATATAACCATATTTATCTAACAATAAAATATAGACAAAATAAATATTATTTTAAGATACGTCTTCTGATTGAAGCAGTTTCTCGGTATAAAAAATCAAATATTGACGTTGTAGCTTTTAGTATGGGATCACCTATGGCAAGAAAAGTAATGATAGCATATTGAGAGACAAAATATTATTAAATTTCCTTCTAAATAAAGGCAATACTTGGTGGAGTTTGTGTTGATACTGGACAATATTTAGGACAATCATTAACTAATTTAGTCCATACATTTATTGGAGTTGCTGGTGCTAATAGAGATGCAGAGCTTTTATGTAAATTATTATCTTGGGCAGAACCTTGTAATCAAATAAATGGAATTTCTTGTAATTCTGCATTTCTGAGAGATATTAATTCAGTGTAAATATTTTAATTATTCTATGTAGTACACGTGGGAACGTGGGGCACACCTTTTTTAGCTATAACTTTTTTCTTTAGAAGGTAAATTGATAATCTATTTTTTACTGGATACCAGAGGTGAGTCGGAATTCCGACTTCAGAAGTGAATATATCAGTCTCCAAATGAATATATCAGTCTTCATGGCCTCACAAAGCTTTTAGAATTTTATTACTTTTAAAATGTTTAAATTTTATTTTTTTTAAATCTTCCCATATTTTTTATCCTCAAAAAATATTTTTTGAATAAAATGAATATTCCCTTAGTTTTTTCATCATTTATATGCACTTTTTAAAATAATTTTCGATGAAAACATTGAGAAAAACATAATAAAAGAAAGTTTAAATGACCTTGCTAAATTAATTTTTCTCATTTATTATTCACATGCTTATTACTTTAAAATGACTTTAAAATTGTATTTTAGCCTGATAATTAAAAATAAATATTTAAATAATTTTATTTATATATTAAT